CGCTATGACGATTTCAATGACGAGCAGATTAAAAAAAAAAAGTGTATTTTAACTCTTTTTCGCGGGACACTTTCATCTGAGCATATCAATAACATGAAATCAAACTGAGGTCGTTCCAATTACCACCTGCATTGGTTAAACTTTGTGAGGGCCCTGCGCCAAAGCTCTCAGAAATCGTATTATTTGTTTCAAATCCACATTGGTACCGGCTATCACTTGCAGTTGAAGTGAAACCAGGGATGCCAACTGCTACGCTTTCTACAAAAGTTATAATAAATTGGCAGCGAATTAAATATTAAAACTTGTAGAATAAGGATAATTACACTAATTTTTTAAGAGTGTACCCACGTGATAACTGCGATAAAGTTGCATTTCATATGATACTTTGAATTTTCGATATGTAGTGGTAAACAAATTACTCAAAATGAAAAATACTAAAAATAACCTAAATTTCGGTACCACTAGAAAATATCTTATTACGAAGCGGAGCAAGTTGGCATCTCTGAGAAAAAATTGGTACCCTTTTGAACAGCACACTTAAAAAATTTTACAAAAAAGTTCATTTTAAAATATAAAGAATGTGCTTTTTTTTTAATGGAAAACTAAGTTCAAGGCAACGATATGCTTTTCAAAGATGCACCTATCATCCGTCTCTGCTATTCGAAAAGGAACGACCCACGGAACTAATTTCGCAAATAAAAATCTAAGAAAAGTTTGCATTCAAATAAACAATATAATTTTTAAATTTTTTCCAGTGCCTTTTCAAAATATTTAAACTATTTTGAAATATAATTTTCCAGTGTATGAGGAGCAAGGAAAAAATTCCGATAAGTATAAAATGCTTGATGCCATACTAATTCTTGCTGTGACTGACACTATAGGTTTTCTATTTATTTTAAGCCAAAGCTTCTCCATTTTTAATTTAAACCCTTCCTACAAGCCCCACGATTCAAGTTTGCATAACACTTAAAAAAAAAAAAAAAAAAAAAAAAAAATTTACCCGTTCCGGTCAGCCACCACAACCAAAACACTGTACTGTTCATACAGTATTGAAGAATATTGTGTTGTGGCCGGAAACGGAAGGTAAACAGAAGTCGATAGTCTTCAGCGATATATAATTTTAAAGAATATTTTACAAATTGTATTTAAGGGCCATAGTGTTTTTATTATGTGCTATTAACTTGTATTATATTTAATCTTTGTATTTTTAAACATTGTGACTTTGTAAATATCTAAATTGTCAATAAATTCTTGCTGACTGGGCTCGTTCCTAGGCTGGTGTGGAGCCGGACCAGTAGCCAAGCTTTGGGCTGCATGGTAAAGGGTCCATAATGACCTAGGCACATGTACAAAGCTTGGAGAAAAGAAAAGAAGTGTTTTTACTTAAAAATATATATATATATATATCTATATATA